GCTAGTCGATTTTGGCAGTAGTTTGAGCTAGCCAATTTTAGCAATAGTCTGAGCCAAACAACGAGCTACATTCAGTGGATCTCATGGCTTACATCGCGCTGATGGACGCTCGGCCTGAGGCATGACACCCTTCCCTATTAACATATAAACAATATATATGTCAATATAAAGGGAGAATTTGTTATAAAATAGATGAGAGGGAGGGCAAGGGGTCGAAAAGGTGAGGGTGAGTGAGTGGGGTGGTAAGGGGCGAGGGTGGAGATGTTGTTGGGACAAACCCAGAGCCCAATAGAGTAGGATCGCAATAATAGTAGTAAAAATAGAGATAAAAAAGATGGACACACAGATTTACGTGGTTCGGCACAAAATTACCTACATCTACGGGCAAGGATAGAAGAATCCAATATGAGGAGAAAACTCTGGAGTTACAATCTCTCTTTACAAAGATATACTCTCTCTATTTTTTTCTCTCTCACTCTTCTATATAGGAGTTGTTTCTGGGATGAGTTTTTCCTTAAGGATTTGGATCCTATTTATAGTGTTTAAAGAATACTATGCATAATAAAATATTAATATTATACTATACAACTTTATTGTGCATCTTTAAATTTTTTCAAAATTCCCGGCTTCTTTCAGCACCGAATTCCGTATTCTTTGACATTAGCAAACGGTGAGGCCCACTCCATTCAAAAATTACGACAGAGCTCTGACAATCTCCCACTTGAAGATTTGATTAAGTATCAATCATATATTCACACCATTCTTTCTATCTTGCCATCTTCATGTTGCTTTATGTCTCCGACAGACCACAATAGGATCGACACCAAATAAATTTGTCAGTACTGACTGATTTTGTTAAAAAATCTGCTAGGTTATCTTCGGTGTGAATTTTCTGCATATCCACTGTTCATTCTTCCACTTTCTCACGAACAAAGTGGTAGTGAACTCGAATGTGTTTGGTCTTTGAATGAAAGGCTGGATTTCTTGCCAAATGCAAAGCACTCTGACTGTCACAAAATAAAGATATCTTCTTTTATTCATAGTCGAGTTCCTCTAGCACCGTCTTCAACCACATCTCTTCTTTACTGGCTTGTGTAGCTGCTACATATTCTATTTTTGTTGTTGAAGTAGTCACAACTGATTGTAGTTTTGAAACCCAGCTTACAGCTCCGCCAGCAAGTGCAAACACATAGCCTGCGGTGGATTTGCTATTATCACGATCATCTGCATAATCAGAATCAACATATCCAATGATAATAAAATTAGATCCCCCATAATATAATGCAACATTTGAGGTTCTTTGAATATATCTTAGAACACTCTTTACAGTATTCCAATGCTCTTTACCAGGATTTGCCATGTATCGACTAATTACTCCCACTACTTGTGTAATGTCTGATCTTGTATAAATCATAGCGAACATTAAGCTTTTCACTGCTGATGCATACGGTACTCGAGACATTTCCATCATCTCTTCTTCACTGTTAGGACTCATATGGAGGATAACTTGAAATTAACAGAAAGTGGGGTAGAAATTGACTTACAATCTTGCATGTTAAAGCGCCGTAAGATTTTCTTTAAATAGTTTTTCTGAGAAAGTCAAATCTTCCTATTAACACTGTCTCGGTAGATTTGCATCCTTAGAATCCTGTTTGCAGATCCTAAAGCCTTTATTTCAAATTTCCTAACCAACTGAGCCTTTAATTCTTTAATACGATCTTTGTTAGGGCCTGCAACGAATATGTTGTCAACATACAACAATAAGATAACAAAGTAATTTTTACCAAACATCTTGAAATATGCATAAGGGTCTGAATTAAGTCTGTTGTATCCAAGGCTCATGATAAATGAATCAAATCTTTTGTACCAACATCTCGGTGCCTGCTATAGACCGTACAGAGATTTGTTCAATCTGCAAACCAAGTTTTTTTTTTTCAAAACCTTCTGATTGGAGCATGCAAATTTCTTCTTTAAGATCTCTGTAGAAAGAGATAATTGAGAGAGCAAAACCCTAACTTTATTAATTTATTTAGATACTAGAGAGATATATATATATAATCATACAAATAGGGGTATGGTTAACAGGTCACAACTCATTAACCTAATACCCAATAGACTTAATTTAACACTCCCCCTCAAGTTGGCGCATAAATATCCACCATGCCAACTTGTCACATATAGTAGAAAACACCTTTGAAGAAATAACATTGGTAAGAATATCAGCAAGTTGTTGTGAGGATGGAGTAAATATGAGGCACATTATCTTGTTCTCCCAAGTATCTCTAACAAAATTACAGTCAACTTCAATATGTTTTGTCCTCTCATAAAATATAGGATTTTGTACAATGTAAATGGCAGATTGGTTGTCATAATGCATAAGTATGGGTCCAGGTTGAACAAAACCAAGTTCTGTTATAAACTTTCGTAGCCACACCATCTCACAAGCAGTGTGAGCCATTGTTCTATATTTGGCCTCTGCACTAGACCGTGATACTACATCTTGTTTCTTGCTTCTCCAAGTCACAAGATTACCTCCAATAAAAGTACAAAATCCTAAGATTGACTTCCGATCTCCCATATCTCCTGCATAGCCAGCATCAAAGAAAGCAGAAATGTGAGTATGCCCATGCTTCTTATATAGCAATCTCTTACCAGGGCAATTCTTGATATATGTTAAAATCTTTAAAGCAGCTGTCCAATGAACTTCTCTAGGTTTGTGCATAAACCTACTCAGTACACCTACTGCAAAGGTAATATCAGGTCTGGTAACTGTCAAATAGATTAGTTTACCAATCAATCTCCTGTATTGTCCAACATCATCTAGTAGAGAGGTATCATCACGCCACAAATTAATATTTGTCTCCATTAAAGTGTTTGAAGGTTTGCATCCCGAGAGACCTGCTTCTTCTAGTAAATCTAGCACATACTTTCTTTGGGATAATAACAGACCATGCCTTTGATATGCAACTTCAATCCTAAAAAAATATTTTGGCTTTCCCATATCCTTAGTGACAAAAAAACGGTTTAGATACTCCTTAGTCTCTACTAAGGCAGCAGAGTCACTCCCAGTGAGCAGAATATCATTAACATTAACGGTTAAAATAACCAAACCAGTTGTTGTGCGTCCAAGAAAGACAGAGTGATCAGAATGGTAGCGTTGGAAACCAACACTAGAAATAGCTTTGCTGAATTTATCAAACCAAGCTCGAGGATTCTGTTTTAAACCATAGATGGCATTTCTCAGTCTGCAGATAATATTCTCCCCCTGAGCAACATACCCAGGAGGTTGCTCCATATAAACCTCATCGTCCAAATCACCATAAAAAAAATCATTCTTCACATCTAGTTGATGCATCTTCCAATCCAGATTAACAGCCAGAGAGAAGAGAATTCGAATG